ACACTACTACATATAAAATAGATAATCAACAGGGACCTACTGTATAGCACAGGAAACTCTACTGAATATTCTGTAATAACCTATAAGGGAAAAGAGTCTGAAAAAGAATATATATATATGTATAACTGAATCACCCTGAAACTAACACAACATTGTAAATCAAGTATACTCCAATAAAAAAACAAAAACAAACAAACTAACAAAAACCAGTATGGTACTGGCGCAAAAACAGACACATTGATCAGTGGAACAGAATAGAGAGCCCAGAAATAAACACACCCACTTAACGGGCAGTTAATCTAGGACATAGGAGGCAACAATATGCAATGGGGAAAAGACAGTCTCTTCAACAAGTGGTGCTGGGAAAACTGGGCAGCTACATGTAGAAGAATGAAATTAGATCATTCCCTCACACCATATACAAAAATAAACTCAAAGTGGATTAATGACCTAACTGTAAGACCAGATACTATAAAACTCCTAGAGGAAAACATAGGCAGAACACTCTTTGACATAAATTTTAGCAGTTTTTTTTTTATCTTAAGGCGAAGGAAACAAAATAAAAAATAAACAAATGGGACCTAATTTAAACTTAAAAGTTTTTTTTGCACAGCAAAGGAAACCATTGACAAAACGAAAGACAAGACCTACTGAATGGGAGAAAATATTTGCAAATGATACGACCAATAAGGGGTTAATATCCAAAATATATAAACAGCTCATACAACTCAATATCAAAAAAAAAAAAACTGATTGGAAAATGGGCAGAAGACCTGAATAATCATTTTTCCAAAGAAGACATACAAATGGCCAACAGGCACATGAAAAAATGCTCAAAATCACTAATCATCAGAGAAATGCAAATCAAAACCACAATGAGATGTCACCTCATACCTGTCAGAATGGCTATCATCAAAAAGACCATAAATAACAAATGTTGGCAGGAATATGGAAAAGAGGGAACCCTCCTACACTGGGAACGTAAATTGGTGCAACCACTATGGAAAACAGTATGGAGGTTTGTTAAAAAACTCAAAGTGTAACTGCCTTATGACCCAGCAATTCCACTCCTGGGTATATATTCGAAGAAAATGAAAAAACTAATTTGAAAAGATATTTTCACTGTTTACAATAGCCAAGATATGGAAGCAACCTAAGTGACCATCAACAGATGAATGGATAAAGAAGATGTGGTCAATATACACAGTGGAATACTACTCATAAAACAATATACAGCCAAAGAAAATGAAAACACTAGTTCAAAAGTATGCACCCCGTGTTCATAGCAGCACCTAAGTGTCCGTCAATAGATGAATGGATAAAGAAGATGTGATATGTATATCACAGTGGCATATTACTCAGCCATAACAAGCAGAATGGATAGACTTGGAGGGTATTATATGCTAAGTGAAACAAGTCAGACAGAGAAAGACAGATACTGTATGTTATCACTTATATGTGGAATCTAAAAAATAAAATGAATGAATATAACCAAACAGAAATAGGCTTGAATATACAGAGAACAAACGTGGTTACCAATGGGGAGAGGGAAGAGGGGAGGGGCAAGATAGGGGTAGGGGATTAAGAGGTACGAACCCCTATGTATAAAATAAATAAGCTACAAGGATATATTGTACAGCACAGGGAAATTTTTTTTTTTTTTTTTTTTTTTGAGGTACGCGGGCCTCTCACTGTTGTGGCCTCTCCTGTTGCGGAACATAGGCTCCAGACGCGCAGGCTCAACGGCCATGGCTCACGGGCCCAGCCGCTCCGCGGCATGTGGGATCTTCCCGGACCAGAGCACGTGTCCCCTGCATCGGCAGGCGGACTCTCAACCACTGCGCCACCAGGGAATCCCAGGGAAATATTTTATAATAACTTTAAATGGAGTATAATCTATCAGAATTGTGAATCATTATGTTGTACACCTAAAACTAATATAATATTGTAAATCAACTATACTTCAATTAAAAAACATTTCCCCCTTTTTGTGGGTTGTCTTTTTTACTTTCTTAATTGTATCAAATGTTTTAAATGTTGATGAAGTCCAGTTTATCTGTTTTTTCACTTGTGCTTTTGATGCCATGTCAGAAGAAACCATTGCCTAATCCAAGGTCACAAAGAGTTACCCCTGTGTTTTCTCCTAAGAGTTTTATCGTTTTGCCCTTACATTTACGTTCTTGATCCATTTTGAATTAATTTTTTGCATATGGTATGAAAGAGGAGTCCAACTTTATTCGTTTGCTTCTGGATATCCAGTTGTCCTAGCACCATTTGTTGAAAAGACTGTTCTTCCCCACAGAATTATCTGGGCACTCCTGTTGGAAATCAGTTGACCATAAATGTGAGGGTTTATTCTGGACTCTCTGTGCTATTCCATTGCTCTGTGTGTCCTTCTTTACGCCAGTGTAGTCTCACTGACAGTAGTTTTGTAGTAAGGTTTGAGACTTGTGTGAGTCCTCCACTTCTGTTTCCTTTTTCAAGATTGTTTTGACTATTCCAGACCCCTTGCATTTCCATCTGAATGCTAGCATCAGCTTGTCACTCTGCAAGGAAGCCAGCTGGAATGTTGACAGGGATTGTGTTGAATTTGTAGATCATTTTGGGATTATTGCCGTCTTCACGGCATTAGGCCTTCCAATCCATTGACGTGGGATGTCTCTCCGTGTACATAGGTCCCCTGTCTGTGTGTTTTGCAAGTTGGGAGCCTCTTTCTACCTGGCCCACCCTTTCAGGCTGCTTCTTGGTTCTGAGGAGAGTAGGTTAAGAACAACTACAGTGAAGTGTGAAGTGATGGTGTGAATGCTGCTGGAAAAACCCAAAGGGCAGCACCACTAAAACGGCTGTTGGCTGGCAGATGGTCACCAGGTTTGCTCAGATGTTTCTGGTCAGCTGCTGGTCGGAATTCTAAACAAGGTATAAGAAAGCGCCTTCAGCGTGTCTCTGCCCACATGGTAGGTTCCGAAGCTGCTGGTGCGGGGCTCAGCAGGTCGCCCTCTGCAGGTGTCTCCGTGAAGTGCACAGGCCCCAGCAGCCCTCTCGCCACCCGAGGAGAAGGAATCCAGGCCTTTCTTCTCCCTGCATTCTGCAGCCCATAGGGAAATAGATTTTTTAGATTGCATATTTTGGAAATTTTATAGGAAAGGTAAAACCGTAGCGCAGCCAGCGCTCTCCCCTGGATTCACACCTGAGACCGAGACGTGCTCTCTCATCATCGTGCTCGTGCACAGCTCACAGGCACACACCTTTTCAAGGCCTGGTTTTGCTCTTTTACGTTTTACTTAGAGGCAATATTAGGTTGACAGAGGGTTGCAAATAGAGTGTAGCATGCCCACGTGCCCTTCACGGCTGCCCCCAATGGTAACATCCTGAGTGACCACAGCACAGGTATCAAAACTAAGAAGTTAGCGCTGGCTCAGCACTTCCTATCAGTTCTTCCTCTGATGGCCTTTCTCTGTCCCGGACCTAATCCAGGGTCCTCAGGGCATTTAGTCGTCCTGTTTCCTTAGTCTTCTATCTGCAGTGGTTGTTGGTCTTTCCTTGTCCTCTGTGATCTTGACAGATCTGACGGATGCTGGTCAGGCAGTTCCACAGATGCCCCTAACTTTGGGTCTGACCGATGCTTCTCACCATCAGTCTGGGGTTGGGAGTTTTGGAAAGAAAACCGTGGAGGCGAGGTCCCCTTCTCATGACAGCATATCACCCGACCTGTTACTGGGGAAGTTAACCTTGATCATGTGGGGAAGGTATTGTCACAATCCAAAATTGTGAATTTGCAGTTTTCCCTTTCCAGACTATTTGTCGGAAGGGAGTTGCCATGACCAGCCCACCCTCAGCGGGAGGGGTTTGAGTACCACACCACCTCCTGGAGTGAAGGCTATCAGAGAATTGGGGGGCATCTGCTAAAACCACCATGGCGATTAAGATTATTTGTGGGGAGACACTTGGAGGGCTGTGCAGAATATCCAGTCAATCCCTAGAGCCACGGTCGTCACCTGCGCAGCTGTTCCTGTGCTGTTCTCATGGTGGTTTTCCATTCCTCCCCTTCCTTCTGCGTTTATTAATCAGAATTCTTCTGTAGGGAAGCGTTTTTCCCTTCTCTCATCAAGGCCTTACTCTTTTTTTTTTTTTTTTTGAGCGTTCTAGTTTTATTTTATTTTATTCTTTTAGCCGTGCTGTGCGGCATGAGGGATCCCAACCAGGGATCGAATCCGTGCCCCCTGCATTGGGAGCGTGGAGCCTTAACCACTGGACCTCCAGGGAAGTCCCAAGGCCTTACCCTTGACAGCTGGAGGCAGCATGGAGCCCTGTATGAGAGCAGGACTCTGCGGGCCAGATCTCAGCTCTGCCACCGCCTCCCGTGGCCCATTGGGTGGTCGTGTGGGCAGGTGGCACCAGGCGCGGGAAGTGTTGAACCCTGCGTGGCCCCCAGCGAGTGTTGGTGGTCGTCACCTCGTTTACATGGAGGTTTACCTCTCAGTCCCCCAAAGCCAGCAAACAGTCAGCAGGTGGAAGTAGACGTGTCCATCCGTCTATCCCGTTGTGTTGACCGTGCCGTTTGCACTGAGTACTTAGTGCAGGTATCAGAAGCTGTTCATCCTGCAGGGCTGCTTCACCCCGTGTGAGCGATGCGGTCTCCTCCTCGAGGGCGTGGCTGGGAAGAGGCCCCGCCAAGCTCAGACCTGGCTCTGTCTGTCCTGGGAGTCTGTTCCCCACGACTGCCCCTCCCTGCCTCCCTACCTCAGGCAGTGGTTCGTTTCCATCCCCTTGGGGACTCCAGAAGGGCAGTGAACAGACTACTTTCGAAGGGCCCCCACTACGGGGCTGCCCCTGGAAAGCTGAGGTTGGCCAAGGCTGAAGGGAGTGAGCCCATTTTAGGGATGTGCAGGTAAGTGCAGGGTTGACTGAGCGAAGCCCCTAAGAAGGTCTTCTCGGCACCGGACTCTTCTCGTGTGTGGGGTGGAATGCACAGTCTAAGATGCTTCCTTTTGCTTCCTCAGCGCATCTACTATCTTTCCCTGGAATTCTACATGGGCCGCACACTACAGAACACGATGGTGAACCTGGGCCTTCAGAACGCCTGTGACGAAGCCATCTATCAGGTATGGGTCCTTGGGGACAGGATGCTAGGTGGCCTCTCGTGGGCACTGAGTCTTAATCCAGGCCCTGCAGAGGTGAGCGCTGCCATCTGGGACGGGAGAAATGGCTCGGGCGTCGGGGAGAATGGGTTGGTGGGCGACACTCCTGCTCAAGGGGAGAAAGCACAAGTGGATGGGAGCTAATGCATTGGAGGGCAAGGACTGGGTGCGTCGTGATGCTAAGGCTTGACGCTTCTAGACCTTTGTACTCCGTACCCCAACCCCAGGCGGGTTTACCACGTGGCACAAATGGCTGGTATCATCCCATTTCTCTCCACTTTATTGAGCCAGTGACCCACCGCCAGCTCCCCTCCCCCACCCCAAGACACTGGTCCTGCCGTCTAGTTATAAAATTGCCCTTTCTCCCCTACTCAGAGTAAACACTGCCTGTGCCTGAGCTTCGTCTTTGACAGCTGTTCACTCAGAGGCCTCCCCCTTTCACGGTTGATTTGCAGTTTTAGGGCAGAGCTGGAATAGGCCGTGTCTGTTTACTGTGTGTGTACCCCCTCTGTGGACACTGTCTCCCTCCCGTACCGGACGCTCAGTGTAGGATTTCTAGAGTGTGAATGGGCAGCATCCCTGCCCTTTGCACGTATGTGGAAGGGTCCTCACCAGAGTCGTTCCTTCCCCCAGCACCTGCCCCTGCCTTTGCTTTTGTTTGGTTTTGGTGTTGGGGTGGGAGGTGCTCTGGGGGCTTTGTTGGAAGCAGGGTGGTGTGAGCCTCCTGTGGCTGTCAGGTCCTGACATCACAGGGGCTCCTGTCTCCCCTCCAGGACTTAGGGGAGCCAAGCATCTGGGACAAGTAGTTTCAGTTGGCACAATAAAAACTTGGAAAAATAATTGACTCCCCCAAATAGGAACCTTAGGCTCACAGTTATCTAAAAAGATGGAGGTTATCCTCCCAGGTGATTTGTCATTTGAGTTTCATTTACTGACTGTGAATGTTAGAACATGTCTATAAGGACCACAGAACGGTGGAGTTTACAGTCGTATAAAGCATTTCAGTTTTTGAAACATTTTCTCTGTATATTTCTTACAGGTAGTAAATATTTTAGGGAATGTTTATACCATAAATATGCATTATCTGTTTATAATGTTTTTAAAATATTTACTTAAAGTGGTTGTTTATTATTCCTGAAGCCAATTTTTTTTTTTTTTTTTTTTGGTCGCACTGCAGGCTTGTGGGATCTTAGTTCCCCGACCAAGGATTGAACCCTGGCTCTTGGCAAGGAGATCACAGAGTCTTAATCACTGGACCACCAGGGAATTCCCTGTTTATAATTTTCATTACACAAATAAGATGTTAATTATAGAAACTTAGAAAATACAAGGAGGCATATATCTTTCTAAACATTGTACATTTTTTTCCCTAAAAATGGTATTTCACTTGCCATTTAGCTTTTAATTAAGCTTGTGTTTGAGAAGTTTCCATGATGACAGAACTTGAGCATCTTCAGGCACACGTTTGCCTGGCCTTCCTTCCAGGCACAAGGCGGGTACCAGACGCTGTGGGTGGGACTGTCAGTGATGCAGGGCTGGAGGCCTCCTCCCTCCAGGCTCCCCAGTTACATCACCCAGGGCTAGTTCTGGGAGCAGGTTGCACTAAAAACTAGAAATTCAGAAGAAGCCATTGTCTCCTGATTGAGCTATCAAGGACACGTTTAAAATTTTTTTATTGTAGAAAACTTTATATATGGAAATTGAGTGACTGTTACGATGAACTTCTTCCACATACCATCACCTGGCTTCACCAGTCCGCAAGCCCAAGTCCTGGCCGGTCTTGTTTCCCTTATGCCCCCACCACTCCCAGATTGTTTAGGCCAATGTCAAATATAATATTTCACTTGTAAATATTTCAATGGATATTTTTAAAGATAGGGTCATACCATTATGACCTCTAAAATATTAACAATTCTGTAATATCCGTTTTTCAGGCAGTGTACAAATTTCTCTGATCGCCTTAAAATTTTTTTGAATAGTATGTTCAGAAACTTAGTTGCATCTATGCAACTATGAGCATAATCTATGAGCGTTTCCTCTTTTTTAATTTGTCTGCCTTGCAGTGTATTTGTTGAAACTGGGTTTGTTCTGTAGAGTGTCCCCAGCATGTGTTTAACCTGCTGCTTTGTCCAAAGGACGTCTCAGCACTTCTACTCAACACTGTACTGATGGAGCTGGGACATTTAGCCAAGAAAATGAAATAAGAGGTATCCAGATTGGAAAGGAAGAAGGGAGGCTATCTCTACTTATAGATGACATGACCTAGAAAATCCTAAGGATTCTAGTAAAAATGTATTAGTACAAATGAATGGGTTCGGCAGAGTTGCAGGATAAAGATCAATATACAGAAATCAGCTGTATTTTTATATACCTGCAATGAACAATCCTAAAATGAAATTAAGAAAACAATTCCATTTAAAATAGCATCAAAAATAATAAAATACCTAGGAACAAATTTCCAAAAGAGACACAGACTTATGTTCTGAAAACTATAAAACATTGTTGAGAGAAAGAAAACCTAAAAATGGAAAGACATCCCCTGTTAATGGCTTGGAAGACTTAATGTTAAGATTGCAGGGACTTCCCCGGTGGCGCAGCAGTTAAGAATCCACCTGCCAGTGCAGGGGACACGGGTTTGATCCCTGGTCTGGGAAGATCCCACATGCCGTGGAGCAACTAAGCTCGCGAGCCACAGCTCCTGAGCCTGTGTGTCACAACTACTGAAACCCATGTGCCCTAGAACCCAGGCACTGCACCTACTGAGCCCATGCGCCGTAACTACTGAAGCCCACGCACTCTAGGGCCCACGTGCTGCAACTACTGAAGCCCGCGTGCCTAGAGCCCGTGCTCTGCAACAAGAGAAGCCACCGCACCACAACGAAGATTAGCCCCGCTCACCGCAACTAGAGAAAGCCCACGTGCAGCAACAAAGACCCACGCTGCCAAAGAAATAAAGATTGCGAGACTCCCCAGACTGATCTACAGACTCATTGCCGTCCCCAGTAAAATTCCATTTGGCTTCTTTGCAGAGATTGACAAGCTGATTTTAAAATCCAGATGCAGGTGCAACAGATCAGGATTAATTAAAACATCTTGAGAAAGAAGAACAAAGTTGGAGGACTCACATTTCCAATTTCAAAACTCACTACAAAGCTACAGGTGTGGTCCTGGCATAAGGACAGACAGTTAGAGCAGTGGGATAGAATTGAGAATCAAGAAATAAACCCTCACATTTATAATTGATTTTTTTCCCAATTTAAAAAAATTGAGGTAAAATACACATAATGTAAATTTACCATCTTAATTGTTTTTAAGTGTACAGTTCAGTGGTATTAAGTACATTTATATCATTGTGACACCGTCACTACCGTCCATCTCCAGAACTCTTGCATCTTGTAAAACTGAGACTCTATATCCATTATATACTACCTCCCCATTCTCCCCTTCTCCCAGCCCTTGACCACCACCATTCTACTTTCTGTCTCTGAATTTGATACTCTGGGTACCTCACATAAGTGAAAACATACAATATTTGTCGTTCTGTGACTGGCTTCATATCTCCAGGGCTCATCTGTGTTGTAGCATATGTCAGAATCTTTTCAGGCTGGATGAATAATAGTCCACTGTATGTATATACCACACTTTGTTTATCCATTCATCTGTCCTTGGACATTCGGATTGCTTCAACCTTTTAGCTACTGTGAATAATGCTGTTAAGCATGAGTATACAAATATCTCTTCAAAGCCCTGCTTTCAGTTCTTCTGTGTGTATATATAGAAGTGGGATTGCTGGGTCATAAGGTGATTCTGTTTCGCTTTTTGAGGGACCACCATACTGTCTTCCAGAGCAGCTGCACCCCTTTATATTCTCACTAACAGTGTAAAATGTTCCAGTTTCTCCACATCCTCACAAACACTTATCATTTTATTTATTTCTTTTTTTTTAATAGTAGCCATTCTAACGGGGGGGGGTGATAGCTCATTGTGATTTTAATTAACATTTCCTTAAAGATTAGTGATGTTGAGTGTCTTTTCACGTGCTTATTGGCCATCTATATGTCTTCTTTTGGAGAAATGTCTATTCAAGTACTTTGTCCATTATTGAACTGGGTTGCTTGGTGTTTTTATTGTTGAGTTTTAGGAGTTCTCTATCTATTCTGTATATTAATCCCTTATCAGATATGTAGTTTGTGCAGATATTTTCTCCGATTCTGTGGGCTGCCTTTTCACTCTTGTTGATAATGTCTTTTTAAAAAAAAATATTTAATATTTATTTAGGGACTTCCCTGGTGGTCCAGTGGCTAAGACTCTGCACTCCCAATGCAGGGGGCCTGGGTTCTATCCCTGGTCGGGGAACTAAATTCTTCATGCATGATGCAACTAAGAGTCTGCATGCTGCAACTAAAAAGATCCTGCATGCTGGAACTAAAGATCCCTCATGCCACAATGAAGATCCCTCGTGCCACAACTAAGACCTGGCACAGCCAAAATAAATAAATTAATTAATTTTAAAAATGGTTAAGATAGTAGATTTTTTAAAAATTAATTATTTATTTGGCTGTGCTGGGCCTTAGATGCGGCATGCGGGATCGTTGTTGCCACGTGCAGTATCTTCGTTACAGCATGCGAGATCTTTAGTTAAGGCATGCGGGACCTAGTTACCTGACCAGGGGTCGAATGTGGGGCCCCTGCATTAGGAGCGCGGAGTCTTAACCACTGGAACACCAGGGAAGTTGCGATAATGTCTTTTGATGCACAAAAGTTTTTAATTTTCATGAAGTCCAGTTTTATTTTGTTGCCTGTGCTTTTTTTTTTAATAAAAATTTTTTCATTATTATTATATTTATTTTTTTTGGCCGCACCGTGCGGCATGTGGGATCTTAGTTCCCCAACTAGGGATTGAACCCACACACCCTGCATTGGAAGCGCAGAGTCTTAACCACTGGACCGCCAGGGAAGTCCCC